TGGGTTGCAGATCTGGAGGAGGAAGAGCGAGGGAGCGAGGGTGGGTTGCAGATCTGGAGGAGGAAGAGCGAGGGAGCGAGGGTGGGTTGCAGATCTGGAGGAGGGAGAGCGAGGGAGCGAGGGTGGGTTGCAGATCTGGAGGAGGGAGAGCGAGGGAGCGAGGGTGGGTTGCAGATCTGGAGGAGGGAGAGCGAGAGAGCGAGGGAGCGAGAGAGCGGTGGGTTGCAGATCTGAGGAGGAAGAACGAAATTAAAGTTTACGTTTTTTTGCTTAAGTGTGTGCTGCAAATATGACTCGGTTCTCTCTGCCCGAAAGAATACATGCATAGGTCTCGGTTCTAGTCCTGACCGAGGCATATAGTCCTCAAAAAAAAAAAAAATATAAAATCACTATATACCTCGGTTTCCGTTTAAACCGAGGCATAAACACTATTTCGTACTGGTTCTGTTGGGACATGTGGGTTTTTAGGCTTCGGTCGATGCTTTAACTGAGGTAATATGACTTATATGCTTCGGTTGATTTTGAACCGAGACATATAAGTTTTCTTAAACTACAAAAATGCCACCGTATTTTAATAGGCTTCGGTTTCACCTAAACCGGTGCCTATAACGCGAGTTTAAAACCAGTTTTTTTACTAGTGTATTCTCCACCCTCCTCACGCTCCACCATTTTCGTTTCTGAGAATTCAATTCTCTCCTCCTTCTCTCTACATTCTCTGCACCTTCTCTCTAAGAAACACCCGTATAATCCCCTCCATTCTGTATTCCGGCACCGTTGAAGGACGCACGGCGTCAAGGACTCCAGAAGAACCATTCGGTTCGTGATGACTGAGCTGGTAAGTCCTTCCCTTCATGCTATCGTTCGTTTTCCATGCATGCGAACTCAGTTCTGAGTTCGTACGTTCGTCATCCTTCTTAGAAATGAATAGATCTAATTTGGTGTCGAGGCTCGTTCGTTGTAGTTTGGATTAACGAGCGTTGACGAGCAGAGGACCTGTAGTGGAAAAGTGTATTTGTGCGTCTGTGGACGTTCGGTCATTTCCAGGTAAGGGAAGCTTATTTAATTTAACTGATTTGATGTATGATTGTGTGAACGTTCGTTATTTGACTGTATGAAAATAATGCATGATGTTGCTGTGATTGAGTTGCATGAACGTTCGTTGTTTACTAAGTGAAAATGAAATATGACTAAGTTTACGTATGATGTATGAAATACATGAGATTTGGATGATATGGATTATATGAGGATTGTGAAATGTACCATGACATGAATGAATGGAATTATGAAACTGTATGATGAGAAATGAACTGGAAATGAAAATGGATTTTGTAAGAATTTCCCTATGAAAACGTACGTTCGTACTGAACGGTCATTGACCGTTCGGTTTTTCTCTTGTAACGTAGTTGAAATGTTACTCCTGTCATCCGAATAGAACTGTGGTGAGGACGAGCATCCTCGTGTTAAAATACTATGCTTGAGCTTTCGGCCAAGCACTGTTGTATCTGAGTATTCTTTGATAAATTCCATTCTTTTACTTCCCATGATAATACGCGTTCGTTACTTAACGGTCATTGACCGTTCGGTTTTCCCTTGTAATATAGCTGAAATGCTGACTTTGTCATTCGGATAGAATTCTGGCTGAGGACGAGCGTCCTCGTATTGTGATACCTTATTTGAGCGTTCGTTCTAAATGGTGCTCGATCTTAAACTGAGCGCACGTCCTAAATGGTGTTCGGTTTTATACTGAGCGCTCGTTCTAAAGGGTGCTCGGTCTCATACTGAGCGCTCGCTCTTAATGGTACTCGGTCTATTACTGAGCGTTCGCTCTAAATGGTGTTCGGTCTTATACTGAGCGCTCGTATTCATCCTTAGAAAATTAGTGTTATTGAAATAGCGTACGTCCAACTTCAGATTTGCCACGTTCGGTCATTGACTGGCAATGGGTTCAAAATGATAATTTCTATAAAAACGTTTCTTGGAAGTCTTGAAATATTCGTGTTGATGTATCCGGCCTAGGGCCTCTATACTTAAATTATTTCTTGGAGTATTGGTTTGAAATTCACGAGCGTCAGTTCATTCAACTGATTCTCAGAGTAAATGTCGTTCTTCCAAATGAATAGGATATTACTCGGCCATTCCCGAACGTAACTGTAACTCTGCCGTTCGTACTCTGATTCGAACGAGCGTCTTTTGGGTCTCGTTCACAGCGTTTGTCCTCGGTCTTATTGGGGACAAAACGTTCGTTTTTTATGGTTTCCCTATGAATGATGAAAATGATTATGGAATGATGAATAGTGAATGATGAACAGTATATGAGATGAAATGAAAGTATAAATGTTGAACGAGCGTTCCGGGGAGGAACGACTCTTGGATGATTATGAGAATTTGTAAAGTATGACCGTGGTCAGACTTAGCAGGCGATTCATCCTGATGTTCCGTGAGTGCTCGTCCTCAAGTAGAGGGGAGTATGTCATGTGTGGGAACAGCAGGAGGTCCTAGTCCATAATTGTACTTTGGACGGAGCGGACTAACCTCGGGTGGCAGCTGATGAGAATTCCAGCTAATCCACCTGGGTGCACGAACGTCGTAGCTACACGGGAATTCATAAAGTCCGGACGGTCAGTCGTGTATTGAGTTTTATGTTAAGCGTGCGTTGAAATGTGCATGTATGTTGAATTGTTTACTTGAATTAGTATGTTGATGCATGAGTTAAATTACATAAGCTTACCCTGCGTTTTCCTTGTGTTGTCTCGTTTTGTACGTTCGTCTTGTCGTTGCAATGATCATCCGTGTGGATGTGAGCAGAGGGAGACGAGCGTTTGGAAGAGGCGCTGAATGAAGAGAATCTGGTTGAAGTTGAAGTGAAGACCGAGCAGTGAGATGCTCGGCTAGTAGTGTAGGTTTGTGGCAGAGTGGTCGTTCGACCAACTTATGATTTTATTTTGGCTGTTCGACCGTTCGGTATTTTCATGTGTAAACCGTTCGGTCAGTTTCCGCTTACGTTCGTCCTTAATTTGTAACTCTTATGTAAAGACGTGCGACTTTACGCGTTCGTTACTTTAATGTTGTAATACTGCACTCGAGGACGTTCGTCCTTGAGCGTTCGTTCGGTTTGTTTTTGGAAAACTGTACTGAATTATTATTAAAAGTGATTTTCTAATTTTATGGTTTATGACTGTATTTTTGGGATGTCACACCTTGTGATTTACAATTTCTTGTGATGTTTACAAAAGTCAAATTTCGTTTTTACTGTTTTGATTTTATTTTTTTTTTACAGCTTGTTTTTACGATTGACTTTTACAGATGTTTTTATTTAAGTGTTTAATGTTTACCGTTTTAATTTAATTTTTCGCGCAAACAAAACCTTCAAAACAACCCCCTTTTGGTGTAAAGATCTAAAACTGAACCGCACATAATTGGTATTGAGAGACAACCTAGGAGTCACTTCCTAGTAAAATATACTGCATTAATTTCGTGCAATCAACTTTTGTGTGCGGTGCGACCCGCTAATCAGCCTGTGATGCTGCAACTCTTGCTTGCTGCCGTGAGTCCTTTATCATGCGACAGCCATGCTTCTTCTCCAATTTCTCATTTCCGTCACAGCCACTGGATGCTGGTGTAGGGCCGTGATCTTCCTCTCTTCAGCTGCTTGCTTCCGGACCAACGTGAATGCTTCTACTGTCACAGTGAATGAATCAAGCCGTGCAGCTCCTCTCTGCTAGACCGTGTGCTCTACTGGACGTGTATCTTTCTTAGCTTCCAGCCGTGGGCTTCCTTGCTTATCCTCTCAAAGAAAGAAGACGTGAAGGTGCAGCTCCCCTCTTCTTGCTGCAGCCACCGTGTCCTACTGCTTCTCTTTGCATGGACCGTGAAGCATCTATTCTGCTGGACCAGCTGTTGGTGTACTTCTTTGGTTACTGGATGTTGCTTCATTTTGCTAACTCAAGCACCGTGTGTCAGTCGTGAATGCAGCTTTCCATGGACGTGTGGGTCTCTTTTGCAAGAAAGAAAACTAATTCCCAGAGGAGAGAACCCGTGAGCTGTTAGACGAAACATCAGTAAAAACGGTGGCTCTCATTCTCGTGAATCTTCAACATGTGGCCCCTTTCATGTGTGTACCACTTCAAACTAGAATAAAATATTCTTTTGTGGCCAACATCTTTTCTCTAGACTTAGTATCTCCAAATAAGTGAACTTCCTTCCTTCAACGTCGCCCCTCATGTGTCATCCTTTATGATTTTAGAATAATATTTCCTCGTGGCAGCCCCCACTTTTGTCCATATGCATGCTACATTTTGAATTTGGACCGCATGAGTTTCGCCAAGCCATCAACTAAATGCATTTCAATAAAACCGTGAGTGGTGGCCCCATGATTTCCCTTTCTCCTTTAGCAATCTTGAATAATTTTCTTCAATCAATTGGACGTGCAAAACTGAGCAAGGGATCCCATGTGTCCGTCACTACAAAAATGTCTAATTTTAGCAGGGGTTTTTTTCTACGTTACCGGGGGTTTTAACCCCCCCTAAATATGTTTCCTGCGGTTAAAATAACCACCGGGAAAAGCAGCGTCACAATTACCGACGGTTTTCAAAAACCGCCAGTACTAGCAGGGGTTTTCAAAAAAACCGCCGGTACTAGCAAGGGTTTTCACAAAAACCGTCGATACTAGCAGGGGTTTTCACAAAAACCGTCGGTAATTATTGAGGTTTCCAAAACCGCCAGTACTTACAAGGGTTTTCACGAAACACCGATAGTTACCTGGGGTTTTCCAAAACCGCTGGAAAATCATTTTTTTTTAAATTATATATTTATATTCATTCAATTTATTTTTCTGTATTATGACATTCAATCAATCTATAATCATTATACGCTCATAACAAACAGATTCAATTGAACAAACAAAAAATTCATTTCATAGGTTAAATTGTATAATAAGATTTAATACATTATTTGTACCTAAAACTATATATCTTAAAAAATGCAATAGTAGTTGGAAACAAAATGAGTATGTAACCTTAAAATCCTCATCCACCGAAACGGTGAGAATGAAATTTTACCTAAACTACGCAACTATGTTAGTGGGATGAGCAATAGAGCCTCCAAGGGTCTTGGTTGCATTTAGAATGTTTTCCCTGTCGTGTGATTCAAGTTCTTTATTATATAGAGGGCTTCCACTTTATTTCATGTGCAACACGAACTACTCTTTCAATTACCTCAGGGGTATCCCTCACCACCACAGTTCCTTCTAGGAGTAAAATTCGATCCAATTCCACCATCAAATCAATAAGGTTACATCTGCAATGAAATCATGAAGCAATCAGAGTGAGTTCATAACTTATGTGAACAGTTGTGTTTGCAAGGATGATACAATTAATATGACAAATATTCTCACTTTTTTTGTTAGTATCTGCAACTTAGAACTACATTTGACTATAATCTTTTGTTTAAGTAGTAAAACCATGACTGTATACACATGCATTCTTGACTTTGGTACAAAACTATGATGAAACTAACAAGCTACACGTCAATTAAGGTAGTAGCAAGTTTTTGCTAACGCTTTATCCAATTATTCATGTTAACAGATATTTGAAAGCATCAATTGAAATTTAAAATTCATAAACAAAAATTCAATCACATCATCATGACCCCAAAAAATGTAGAAGAAAGCCAAGTCTATGAATTCAAATTAGCACTTTAGAATGAAAATACTTGTTTTTGGCAGAGGCAGGATCCTTTATAAGTGATTCGATGTTTGTTGCATGGATCAGATCATAGATGCGAGGATATGTTGACAAAGGTTCACACCTGGGAACATTAATCAAACAACTCACATTTCAAATAAGAGTTTAAAATAAGAGGTGAGTTACTCCAGTTTTCCTTTTTATAAAAAAAAACTAGAAGATTATCATTATTTTTTAAAAGAAAACTCTCTAAAATGCAAATAAACAAAATATCCTCATTAGGTATGTCACCTAAAAAATAACAACACAGAAGAGAGTTTTACTAAGAAAATAACGACTCAGGGACAATAAAGAATCAGTGAAATGACATAATAGTAGTCATGTTTTACTAAGAAACCTTTCCGATTCACCTTCTGATTTTCTTGATTTTCTTGATTTAGGACTGGTGTGAAGTAATTGTGTAATACTACACCTAACAATTACTACACCTAAACACACTTTATTTCCCATTAATTCGCACTTTATTTCCCATTAATACTCTGACGTTACAGAAAGAAAAGGACAAAAGGAAACCACGTAACAATTCAAATTCAAGTAAAACTTACTAAAAAAAGCATTTGTTACGTTAACATGTCTGCACCACTTAATAAAATAACATTCATAAATTCACCTAATAAAATCTCTTTCATAACTATAAAATATCAAACGTATATATCTAATATAATACGTTTATAACCTACATAATATAATATCTTTAACAATAAATAATAAAATATCCTTCTTAAATCTCTTTAATATAATACGTATATAAAACCTACCTAATATAATATAACGTACTTGATATAATATCATTCATAAATAATAAAATATCATATAAAAAAATTAATCATTCACGTATATTTATCAGTAGCATCCAAATAACCCAACTGATAACCAATTACTATTACACTATAAACCTATTATATGCATTAGCTTTCAAAGATTTATATAAAAACAAGATCACGTTAAAGCCTCTAAAAACAACTTTTACTGCAAGAGTATATATTTTATTAACTGGGGGACTAATGCACGCATTCAAATGTTATATACTTATAAAATGAATAAGGGATGAACAAACAATTTAACATTGTTCTTCGAAGCTAGTAGTGCTGGGTCTGATTCAAACAGTTTCAAAAGCTTACCTTTTCATTCACTTTCTTGAATAATGTGGATATAGTAGCCTGGACAAGGGAACCACGATTACTGGACTTAACTTTAGTAGATGCACTGACTGAAGTAGATTGAGACACATACTCATTATTTTCCTGGTTGAGTGGATGTCCCGGTGCATCATCCTCCTTATCAAGGTCAAAAACTACAGTTTCTTTCTGTATCTGTGAATTAAGGAATATAAAATATAAACTCAATGATAATATAAAAATATATAAGAGCAAGCAACTTATAAATTCCAGGTGGCCAGGTGATCAAAAGGAAAACTAAAGTTGAACACAACTTCTTCCACTTTCTCTTCGTGATCAGAAATGTCAGGGCTGTTTTCGCCAGAATCATCACTGGACGAAATCTCAGCAAATCTAGTCCAAATGCAGTACATATTAAACCAAAAAATTGGTGAAGTTCTATGTTCTGACCTTCTTCTGGTTATGCAGAGTTTGACAAATTTATAGGAAAAAAGTAAAGAAAGTAGCAAAAGGATAGTCAATTTTGAGAATGAATGAGAGAAAAGTTTATGAAACTTTGAGGGAGAAAAGTTTATGAAACTTTGAACATAAGTGCTCCACAATAAACCAGGCATCTCAATACTGCGGACAACCTCTCCCAGCTTCTTCATCTCGGTCTCATCATCCCAAGGCTTGACATCGAGTAGGACAGAAGACTGGCCACCTATAAAACGTCATTCAGTTACAGTTTCCAACAATTTCAGCAATGAAGTAAAATCTAGAGATAAGAAAAAGCCCCTGTATGTGACAAGTTCTCATAAATTTCAACCATTGTTCTACTATATAGCAACATGCCTAGTTTCTAAGTTTTCCAAATAGCAAGACAATTTTACTTGAATTAAAAAAGGTCCAGAACATCTTCCATCAATATTTTAGTTATGGGAAATGTTTCATGGACCAGAAATTACTGTCACCATGCTCTTAAGAAAGCTTACTCTCTTTTATCTTGGCAGGCTTTTTAGCAACCTCCCTTTCCTCCAATATTTCACTTTCTCTACTCAAATCCTTGGCTTCTTCACCTTCTCAACAATCTTCTGCACTACTTTCAACTAAGATTCTTAATTAGGGAAGACCAAATTACAAAAGTATATGTTGCATATGCTAATAACTTTAGAAAGACATATACTAACCAAGTTGTGCTTTGATCAGGCCAAACCACTTCTGGATGCAAAGCTGGTCAAAGAATTTGTAGACCCCAGATTAGGAGCTAATTATGATCTGGCCAAAATGAAGTTTTTATAATAATTTATTTCAGTTTTTACTATGTTGAACGAAATACTAGGGAGTTACATCACTATAAAGCTTACATCTATTTGAGTTGTTATCCAGAGCGAAGCACAAAACCTGATTTTTAGAGGAACACAAATAAATAAAGCTCCCAGCATCAAATACATTTTTTTTATCACTTTTCATGTAATTAGCTGGTGTGTAAATTCCAGAACTGGAGAAGAAGTTGAACTTGCCTGCAGAGAGGAACTATCTCCTCCTCAATGTCACGAGTCCATTTTCTTCTATGGAGCTTTTCGTGTCTTGGAGGATCTGTTCCTCGAAAAAGTAGAACGCCTCTCAGACCATCGGATTCCTCTCCTTCCTTCGCATCCCTCGCCACTGCCATTCCAACTGTCTGCACATGAGTCCAAGCAAGGAATCATTGGATTTGATGGTCTCCCAATCTCTAAGAGAAGCGCGCGAGGGAGGGTGGGGTTCTAAGGGAAAGCCAAGGCAGGAAAGGCATGCGGTTGAGGTAGGTAAAATTATACAAGTAAATAACACACACTTTTAAAGAGACCAAACAAATATGAAAGTAGTAAACAACAGCAGATGGAAGAAGGAAGAAAGCAAAATTAAAATTTCGAGGATAAGATATAGGAGACAAACGAATCGGAAAGATTTTTCGCAAGGATTCTAAGCCGCATGAACGAATCTATAGTTTAATTTCCCAGGGAGAACACGCCAGAACACCATGATGCCTCGATGACGAACACAATGCTCAGCCCAAGCAAGAGAAGAACGACACGAAGATGGTGCAGGGAAGGGGTTGGGGAAAATGACTATGTGCGAGGAAATAGGGTTGGTTTGGAGAAAAATTAGGAAAATAAGAGAAATGATAAAGGCACGGAGAGGGTGAATAGATATTTAGGGATTAAAACTTATTCTAAAAATTTTAAAAAACCTTTAGCGGCGGTTTTAGTTATAAACCGCCGGAAAGTTTTTTTGGTTTCCGAAACCACCGGTAAATAACCTCTGCTAAAATATATTATTTTTGTAGTGCGTGTGCTATTCCATGATAATTGCAAGTGTGAATTAAAATAAAACTTATGCCATCTTGCACCGTAACGTAATTGTTTTTTTTTCTCCAAAATAAAACTTCTTAAAATTCAAGATTTTGGATGACATGGTTTGCCAATTAATTTCGTGGACCACTTTGCATCCAGCAAAGAAGCAAGAAGACCGAAACCTCCTCAAGCTTCATGAGCCAAACATCTTTTCCATTTTTGTTTTCAATTCAACACACAAAATAAATCAATGCAGTGCAACTTCTTCCAAACACAGTGTGTGAATGTTTTTCCAAATGTCCCAATTTGTATTTCCAAAATGTTCCCTACAATTACTAATGCAAATAATTAGTTCAGATAATTCAAATTAATTAAAATAAGAATTTCTGATCGAATTAAGCATAATTAGCAAATACGAAAAAATATCGGACAATTAAACACAATTTCCCAATTAATTCTAGTACAATAAACTAAGTGAAGTGAATAAAATATTGATTCATCAACTGCCATGTAATACCTTAACTAATTAAGACTTAAGAAAAATTTCATTGGTTTAGAATGTAAAAATGCAGAAAAAGTAAATATGAATGCAATTTGATCAATTGGGCAAAACAAAAAGTGAATGGATGATTTTGATAATATGAGATGAGTATGTTGTTGGGGTTTAGATTTCACAATCCTTACTTTCATGCATATAAGAACTCATCTTCTTCATTCATTTGTTAATGTCACTATCTAAATTACTTAAAACCCGATCCTTCGACGAAGAAAGTCTATCCTTAATTATCAGACCACAATCCCTTGCATCCCTAATAATTAATTTTGCATTATGAACAAAAGCTTAAGACAACCAAACCTATTATCCCCATCCCTGGGCAATATTTCTTTTGGGAGAAATTCTCCAGATCGTGGTTTCTAGATATTTCCCAATAACAAAGAAGACCATAAAATCATGCCATGAATGATCAAAACATAACAAACATAGAGCAAAGGAGAAAATCCCTAACAATTAATGAAAGAAGCATATAATAATTTATAACAAATTCAAATACATGAGAGTTTAAAGGTTACATCTTCCCCAATAAAAAATGAGTTTAGTTCTCCATAATCACGGAGAAACTAGGTGTACAATGGAATGAAAGTGATAGAAAAACCCTAGAAACTAAAGAGGCGAGCTCTCGCATCCAATTCTGCCTCTAGAGAGTGAAAAAGTGTGTTTCTACGTCTTTACTTCCCAAAGATACAAACCCTAAGACGAACAAATCCTTAAATAGAACAAAAAACAGAGTCGAAGCCCAACACGCTGGCGCTCAGCGCCCCTACTTAGGGCAGCCAAGTGCTGGTACGAGAGGAGTGGCGCTGAGGGTCCTAAAACAGGCAATCAAGCGGTGTGCGACACAAGGAGGATGGCGCTCAGCGCCCTAGGAAGGGCGCCCAAGCGTTGGTACGAGGCATCCTGTGCTGAGGGCTCTAGAAAAGGGCAGTCAAGCGCCCATACGAGACATCCTGCATTGAGGGCCCCAGAAAGGGGCAACCAAGCGTCATGCGACCTTCTGTAGCCTTCTTTTCTGGTGTTTTTTCTGTTCTTTCTGGATTCCAACTCCTTAGTACTTTAACTCCTCTTCCAAATCATTCCAATTTCCTACAAGATCAAAGCAATTTAGTGATAAAAATCATAAGTTCTAACCTTAACTCTCTTTATTCACAACTTAACTAAAAACAAGAGTTTAAGCAAGTTTCTAAGTCAAAAAAGGCTCATTTAGTATCAAAATTGAATCACAAATAATGGTGAAATCAACCGTTATCAGTCGTCCATTCTCATTTTCTTCTTTGGACAAGTGACCACTACCTTCAACTAAACTCTCCCTCTATAATAGCAGCAACTCTTTTGTTTTTTTCATTACTTCTCCTCTATGAGAGCAACCTTATCCTCAAGGTTGAATTGTGTATAAACTATTTTCATCTATTTAATTTGCTCTCACGAATTATCAGCTTCTAACAATGAATCATATTGCACCAAGACTTCCAAAATTTTTTGTACCAGGTATCCAAAATATTATATGACCACATTACTGGACCAAACTCATTAGTTGTCAACTATAGAGGAAAATATTGTCGAGTAGGATCACCCTTGAACTCCTTCAAAATGATATAGCAAATATTGGATGTATTTTTACTATCTTTGGTAATAATAGTTTATATGCTACACTTTCAATCTTCTCGACAATCTCAAAGGGCCAACAAACCTTAAACTCAATTTTTATTCTTTCTTAAGACCACTAAATGTTGTTTATATGATTGTAATTTAACCAATACCAAATCCCCATATTCAATTGAGCACCCCTTTTTTTCTTATTAACCTATAACTTCATATAATTTTGATATTACTGCAATTTGGTCTTTAACTTAGTTAAAAGTGCATCTCAAACTTTCAAGCACTCTCTAAGATCAGGTGGATCTTTGTCATTGTGTTTGTTGGGAATCCAAGTGTGAGTCTAAGTCCCACATTGGATAGAAATGAGAAAGTAGAGTGGTTTATAAGTGGGAAGACCCATTAACTCATTGCCTTAAGGTTTTGGGTAAAGAGTGGTGTCAATCTCTTATAAGGTTTGACTCACATCTCATTGCTCATTGACTCCCCGGTCAAAAACCTCCCCCTTGGTACTCCTAACAGTGTTCATAGCAAAATACAGATGGAGGTAATTCTCCATAAACTTGCTAATAAGTAGACTTGGCGATGTTGTGATGGAAGGAAGAGTTGTACCTATACTGAGCCCATGGTAGCCTGTCTAGACAATCTTTTGGATGATCAAATATAAACCATCTTAAATACATCTCCAAGGTTTTGTTTAAATTCTGTATTCAACCATCTAATTGTGGATGGTAGGCTGAAGTCATTCCCATATTCATGCC